CCGCTTCGACTGGTACGACCATGGCCGTACCACTTTTTGAAAAGTGTGGTCTGTCCGAAATGTGCAAAACCGTAATAAAAAAATCAGGATCCATCGATATGCATATGCGCATCCGACTTTGACCTTTTTCTAGACTCGTAGATCTGTTATGCATCTGGAGTCGTACTGACTACTATACTCGACTCGACTGCACAGTACACTGCGCCAGAAGTGTGCCAGAAGTTCCAAGAACGCAGGATTTTGTGTCTTTTTTACAAAATGTCTTTTTTACAAAATTTCCCCGGGGGAGGTCCCCCGCACCCCCCTCCAACACGGCCTTCGGCCGCACCGACCTTCAGTCGTACCACTTCCAAAACCCCTCCTACGCCCCTGGCCTCCAAGTTGCCCAATTTTTCGCTTCAAATCAGAGGTGGCTCCAAACCGGACATGTTTTAGAGTGCACGTCAAATTCGCTCTGGGTCTGAAATTAGGTACCGTATTTTCTCTAATAAAAGCCCAGGTCTCCAATAATAGCCCAGTCTCCAATAATGAGGTTGGTTTGAAATAATAAGAGCATAGTCTCTATTAGTAGCGCGGGTCACAATTGGAGTATGCAACAAGTATATTGACTGCATATAAAACAGCAGTACAATATGCCAAGAACATATTTATAAGGAGCTTTTCGGTCTACTGCTTCCTTCCTGGCGCCAATGCTATTGTGAAACATCTGTTTTGACAATATTCCTGAGTTTAGGGTTGAAAAATCTGTCTTGATATGGTCAATTTATGCCTGTATAGACTGGAGTTGGCTTGATAGTTGACAATTGAAAAAATAATAGCCCAGTCTCTAATAATAGCCCAGTCTCTAATAGTAGCGCGGGTAGAGCTGTCACTGAAAAAATAAGAACACCGGGCTCTTATTAGAGAAAATACGGTAATTGCTATCGCTCCACGACGGCCAGTACAGAGTAACAATAAGCCTTGTGTGTGCTTCCATTAGTTTTGATTGGTATGCGGTGCTTTATTGGCGAGAGGCAAGCCGCTGTTTACCTGCGACAAGAAGTTGATTTTTCGAAAGTCGTAAAACTCAAGTCGCAGTGGGAAACAACACGTCAAAAACTCAAATGCTTGGTATGGCGCTTCTGGTCATCGCAGAGCGATGGAATTTTGGCGCTGAGTAAAACACATCGTAGTCTCACTGTCACATACGTTTTCTAATCAAAATACAAAGAGAGAAAGTGAATATTGAGACCGTTCCGGTTTGCAACCTATGTCCTATTTGAAACCGTCGCCTCTACTCACTGCTGTGTACATCTTGATACAGTACTCGACATCGTGGTATCTCATTCAGCCAATGTGAAATCCTAGTGGAAGATTTAAAATATCAGGACATGTGATAATGTAAAAATAAGGCGCACAGGCGGAGACCGCGTGTAGCAGCAGAGCTATCACTTCGGGGTTTTCTTCATTTGCAGCGCTTACAGTCCATTTCAAAACTATAGACGCGTACCTAGGCAAAAACCGTTATGCCAGCATCTATACCACATAAAATCTGTGATCACTTTGTGCATAAATTTTTCCAAATTGGGCGTCTGTTATCCAATCGTTTAGAAACTATATGAGAGTAATTGTGGAGCGGTCCTGAGCAATATTCCGAAAACTATTCTCAAAAAGTTCCAGCCAAATTTGAAATATTTCAAAAACCCTACGCGTCTATAGTTTTGAAATGGACTGTAGTAACTATTGCCACGGACTGTGCGGAACAGTGCTTCGCCTTTACTAGTAAACCATGGTAAACAGCAGTACTAGTATGTAATTGATACGTAATTACAAACACACTCACCGAAATCCGCCGAAAAAAACCCGGAAAAGAGACGCATCCGCAAAGCTCTGCTCGCTGTTCACTGTAGTGGAACGCGGCTGCCCGGCTTCGTAGCTGTCCGTGACGGTGTTCTCTCTGTCGGCCGATACGATTCACGTAACGACGTGCTAGAGTTTCAGCAGCCCGGTCAGCGCCTGTTCGCCTTCACGATCCACGGATTCAGTGCGGCGACGAAATAAATTGCATTCCGAATTAAATCCACGAGCACCGGAACCCTCATCTCATCACATTTTGTGGCCTTGTGTGTTGAATCGTCCTGTCCAATTCTGTGAGCACACAAGCATAGCCAAAATTGAGTTCGAGAGCCTGAACAAGGTCCGAAGATAAGATCAATGCTGTTGTTGCATGAGCGACGTGCCGCCCAAACAAGACAGTCTGAGATTTGGGAGAAGGTTCAGGACAGAGAAGGAAGCGCCGCAAACAGAGGAATAGGGGTAGCACAAACGTATGTCACGGTAAGCAAGGGCAGTGCGGCACTTATGCAACACAGGGCATACAGTCATCTTTGCCGACGACAGTCGGAGGAGGGGCCATAGAAACTCACCTCATGAAAGACGGAGACGAAACTGCGCTTGGAGAAAGAACACTGCACTCAAGTAAAAAGCAAGCCTCGCTAGCGCTCCGTATCACGATGGCCGTGATCGCGCACACAAACTCAGCTCAGATACTTCTTTGGCGAAAGAGCGCCTTACAGTTGCTCACCACGGTCGGGCAAGGTCTACAGCAAGGAATGTGTTTACGGTTGCAGCCCGAGTGTTCTGGATATGAGACGGCCGGTAAATCTGTCCCCCGTCATCATGGTCATTCCTAGGGCTTGAAAGTGCTACGTCACAGCATAGCAACAATTTCAAAAATTCAAAAACTGGATCCACTTGGATCCAGTTTTTGTATGGATCCAAGCATATTTCAAGCGGTCTTACTCACAGCAAGGTGATGTAGCCAGTGAAACTGACTGATTTGGCGGAGTGACCAGGCCTGCAGGTGACCATGGTGACACCTGGTGGCAAAGTAAAAGTCACACATGCATACGACATGAGTGGGTTGCTATGCACCCACATACTGAGGCAATAGGGCTTGAAAGTGCTACGTCACTCCATAGCAATGGCATAGCAACAATTTGAAAAATTCGAAAACTGGATCCACCTGGATCCAGTTTTTGTATGGATCCAAGCACATTTCAAGCGGTCTCACTCACAGCAAGGTGATGTTGCCAGTGAAACTGACTGATTTGGCTAGTGGGGGCGGGGTGACAACTGGTGGCGAAGTAAAAGTTGCACCTGCATACGACATGAGTGGGTTGCTATGCACCCACATACTGAGGCAATAGCAAAGTCACACCTTAGTGGATCCAAAATAGAAATCTGATGTCAATTTACTACTCCCAGGCCGTTTTTGACGTCATCACTTTCAAGCCCTATAGCAAAGTCACACCTTAGTGGATCCAAAATAGAAATCTGATGTCAACTTACTACTCCCTGGGCGTTTTTGACGTCATCACTTTCAAGACTGTAGCGGACATGGAAATCCACCGGGGCCGGCGCCCTCAGGCTCAGTGTGTGCAGAACGCTGCGTGCAGTGCACAAAGTCATGTTGATCCGATGCGACCAGCGCGCTGCTGCGCATAATGCATGTCCACGTTATCCACGGCTGCATGACCAGCGCCCTGGCCTGGGGCCGCTAGACGTGCGACCGGATTTCCATGTCCACGGTGCGACAGTGCAGTATGATGGCTAGGTTTGTGCGATCCCAAGAGTCAAAGACTAAACTAAAGCACAAGACAGTCGACTCCACTTATAACGAACTCACATATAGCGAATTTCGTGATAAAAGCGAACCATTGTCCATACGTAGTTCTACGTACCCGGGTGCGGTTTGTATACCCCTGTTTGAACCCATACAAAATTGACCCTTTATGGCGAACAGTTTTCGCTTATAACGAACCAAATCTTGTAGGGCTGCAAAGCAAGTGTGCTCATAGATTACTAGTAGTACATGTACAGTCTGTCATGGGCCACTTGCCAGTCATGATATACAAGTATATGACTGGCTGCTTGCATATTAAATGACGTGAGTGCATTACATTTTATTTATAACGAACTTCGCCTATAAAGAACTAATTCTCCTGATCACTTGTGTTTGTTACACATTATCAGGAGTCGACTGTACTCCGTAGATCTACAAGTATTTGCTGCGACGGTACATGGGTACCGTACAGTCCAGCGACGGTAGAGTCCCGCGACGGTACAGTCCCGCGACGCGACGGTACAGTCCCGCGAGTAGCCCTTTCCCAAAGATGCCAAAAAAATCCTTATCGCAAATTCGCAACGGTGCCAAAACAAATGAAAGTTGCTGAAATCGCATCCATATTAATTTTTCAGAAAAAGCTCAGAAGTTGCTAATACTAGTACTTCTCAAGTAAGTAATATCGCAACTCAAAATGCATGAAATGAGCGAGTTCTCGTGCATAATAATAATAATAATAAGATTATAACCAGGGAGTAGTAAAATCTATCACTCCCTTAGTATTGACTCACATACATGTAGATTTTTGCCATACCTAAGCAGTCAAATATTCCTGCATATTTCACTCCTTAGGGATATTGACTGCTTAAATTTGACTGCTATAAGGGGTTGCGCAGTTGAACGGTGCCTAGTGTGCAGCATTGTCACTGCATGAGTAGGTGGTGGTGCAACGGTTGTGCCATCATAAAACCGGGATTCATGAGGTTATCGTTCTGGAATTTGAAATACGGACTGTTTGTCGTGATAAATCTAATATTGACTTCGTACTTGGTCAGTATAGGAAATAAAAACCTCGTACTCAGTCAATATCAGATACGTATTTTACTACTCCCTAGCCCCTGATTATAACCAGGAGCCAAGTCGGCAAGTGTATAATAGATTTAATATACCGTACTGGCAATATATGTTGCCGCGTAACGCGTAACGCAGGGGGGTGCGGCGTAACGCGCGACCAGGCTAGTGCGACAAATTTTCGTTGAGTTCGTAACGCGCGTCCGGCGGGGTGCGGCGATCTTTTCATTGCAGTTTGCAAAAAATGATGCGGCAATAGCAAAAAAATGATGCGGCAATAGCAAAAAAGTGATGCGGCAATAGCAAAAAAAGGACTGCGGCAATATAGAAACCTGTGTAACGGCTCCTGTGCGACTTTGCATGTAACGCCCTGCGTGCGGCAAACATGTGCCAATGTAACGCTTCATGGCCTCACTGCGGCAACATATATTGCCAGTACGGTAATAATTATTATTAGATCCACAAAACGCGACACGTACGTGTACGTAGATCTACCCACCCTCGCTGTTGTTGCTGCTCGCCTCGGCGAAACGAGCACTGTTTCCGCACTGGAGCTTCGTGGTGAAATATTGCACTGCCGCCGGCCGGCTGAGTGTAGCGCTAGCTGTACTTTCTTCAGTTTTCATGCTACAGGCAGCTTATACATGACTGTACTTATAGAAGAGTTGTTGTAGGTAGCGAGGTGGTGTTAGTTTTGCTGCTTCGTGTCGAAAATTGTTGGGGTGCAGGCTATGTAAGAATCTGTGTAGGTTTTCATTGAAGTTTCCTGGTGCCTCGGAGGCTCTATTCGACTGCTACATACCATCACGACGTCGAGAACCGGTACACCGTTGGCGTTGATCTACAGCCTATCCGCCCACGACGTTCCAAGTCGTGTCCAGGATTCAAGCAAACCGTGACTCCAGGCTGCAGGAGCGCTCGTCGCTCGACTGTTCATCGTCCCCATTTGTCATGGTGTTCAAGTGATCATTCTGGGTAAGTGGTTAGCCAGTGTTGTTCAGTTCTTGGGTATTGTCGTTCGTTCTCGTTTCCTGAACAGGCCGCAGGGCATCGGTAACAGGTATGCATGGCTCATGCTACTGTGATGTGAGCGTCAGTCTCAACAACCCGATGGGCGCGTTCGATTACACACATTTCGGTGAATTCTACAATTAATTACAGTCTGTCCCTGCGGGAATTTGCGGAAAAAACTCTCGAAAACTTGCGCAAGAAATTGCGGCAGAAAACAACAGAAAACTGCGACGAAAAGTGCGGAATGATGCAGAACTTGCCAGGAATTTGTGGAATTATTTACAGAAAATTGCGGATTTGGGCCAAATCACGAAATTTGTTGCGTCGTATATCTACTCGGGAGTAGTCCGAGTCGTACTGTGCAAATAACCTACAGGATCATGGAAAGCACTGCGTGAAAAGTGCATAAAAAAGTGAGATATAGTGCAGAAAACAACAAAAAACGTGGGAAATCGCGGATTTTGCTGAGAATCGCGGGTTTGGGCGAAAATCGCGAAATTTGTTGCATCCGTGGAATCGCGATTTCCTGGAGGGTCAGTACAGTGGATGCACAGTTCGATTACACACATTCCGTCGTCAATTCCAATTCAGTCAATTCAGTCAATTCTGAAGAAATGGCGGAATTGCTAATTTCAGAATTGCTAATTCCAGAATTGACGCACTCAACGTAAACGCCATGCTAGGTCCACGTGCGTGCGCGAGGGTGCACAGAATCCCACGTGATCCCCATTTACGATTTTTACGTGTAGTCGTTCGTTTACATGGCTGCAATCCGTTCGTTCTGTTCATTCCAGAATTTCAAAACCTGGGCCCAAATGTGCAATCGAAAGCGCCCGAAGACTATGTGCCTGTGTACTGCGACTGCGCGTAAAGCACGGTTAATTGGTGTGGGTTATCTTCACTCAGTAGAGTCAAGTCGAGCGAGCGGCAACTCCTGGTGCCGAACGGCGGGCTCACGCTCCTACATGGCTATTTCCCCTTGTTTAACTAACCCCCAAGATGAAGAAGAAGAAGAAGTATAGTTGCCGACTGGCCGAAATGAAAAATAAGATAAAATAAAACCTGGTTACAGTCATTCATATTTTGTTCGCAATGTTGTTCACACCAAAGGACGCGGGGAATTCAAAACACGGTACATACACAGGGGCGGATCCAGAGAGAGATCTCTACAGGGGGGTTCCGGTTGAACCAAAATTGAACAGCCAAAATATTATGGAATCAGATTGTTTTGAAGTTGTGCGGTTGACATAGTCATGTAATTACGACAATCCGATTGTGTTAGTGGGAATCGCATACTTTTAAAACGCACTACGGACATAATATTTTTCCATCATCGACCACACCATAACTGCGCCCTCCAGCCGGCCTCGACACGTAACGTTGCCACAGCACACCACCATCGCTGGAGCGCGCAGTTGTGGTGTGGTGGACGATGGAAAGCCTGTACAGGGCCAAATGCTGCTGCTTACCCTACATTGTATATATTATTATTTAGTACGGACACATAATCATAATAATTATACTTGAGTTCATACATGGGTACGTGGAGAGCCAGGAATGCCGAAATGACAACTAAGTTACTTTCCCTGTCCATTTGTACTTTCGGAAAATTTTGGCATTTTTACGATGCGAAGTGCTCTATAGTCACAGGACAAGAGCATCGTCTTCACTTCAGTGACAGAAACAACAACAGCGAAACAGTGTCGACAATTGCAATTGCACAATCCTTCCAATGTCATCTAAACACATCGCTGGCGCAGCACTCCGTTCCTGCGGAGGAACAACTAGTCACTACTGCATGTAATGCTGCAGCAGGTAGAGATTACTGACTTTGCTTGGGTGTCGGAGCCCTCATCTTCTGAGGAGCTTGAACTCTACGTGTACGATTCGAAGTTCGTTGAAGAGTGTCATCACTCGGAACATCCTTTCTCTTCTGCAAAATAAATTGTCCAAGGAATACTGACCGCACCCATCCTGAGCAACAGTGAATGACAGCGCCAATGGAGATAAGTTTGGATCGTTTCGAAAGATCAAAAAGGAAACAACCGCCCAATGTTGTCTACAGTGTCCGTTTGTAAATCACGGACTTGAACACGAGTACAGACTATTAAAAGTACTTGTAGACTACCGATCCATGCAGTATCGATCTACCGAACGCGCATGCAGTGCACTGAGTCTGTACTCTTTGACTGCACTGACTGTGCATGTGATCGGACGGACGTCCTTTTGTGCACACATGATATTTTTCCATATTTCTCAGCACCACACTTTGCAAAATTTAGGGGGTTCCATGGAACCCCCGGAACCCCCCCCCCTGGATCCGCCACTGATACAGGAGATCTATTGAAACCGGGTCATATTGATAGTGCATGTACTGTCGTGGACATGGAAATCCAGTCGATAGACCGGGGCTGGCGCACTCAGCGCGTACAGAACCGTCAGTGCAAGTAGATCCGATGCGACTAGCGCGCTGCAGCGCATAATGTCATCAGGTCATGCATGTACTGCTTACCCACGGCTGCATGGCCAGTGCTCTGGGGCCGCTACTATTATGCGAGCGGATTTCCACGTACACGACAGTATAGTACCAACATACCTGCATATTAAAAGTCCTACCTGAATTCCGTACACAGAAGAACGTTGACTACTGGTCAGAGTGCTCTATGCACGACGTGCGTGGAATATAATTAAGGACTAACTTCGAAGTACCAGTACAGTCGTGGCCAAAAAATGCGACCCGTGACTCGAAGGCAGGTTCGCATTTCTATTTCACCATCCATGGTCGAATAACCCATCAGAAGGCCAGAGGGCATGAACCCTGGCGCTACTTTCAGCCCTTGATTCGGACTCCCCGATACACGTGCAATGAAAATGGAGTGATGCTTCCTTGCAAATTTGGTGAGCGGAGGGCTCCACATGCTTCTCCGGCTCTGGACACGTGGGAGCAGCCAACTTCCTCAAATTGATGTCATATGATGCAATGTGCGCGTATTATCAGACATATCTTGGACTTCAGCCAGTACAAAATAGCGCAAGGAAGCACACGTGATGCGTTGACAAGCAATACAAACACTGTAAATCACTCGGGCAAGAGGAGCATTGCATCAAAACAATGCCGTCAACTTGAAATTCTGTCGAAACAACACTGTATGCGGAAGTTGCCTACTCTTGGGGGTGATGTACTTTTGTCAACGCACAGAGCCCACTCTTGAAGCCTTGCCCACACTTCTACAAAAGTGTGAAATGCTTTTAAAATTAGCGTTTCTTTTGAATCTGCACCCGCTGAAAACGTTCTAAAGAATATAGCAACAAGGAGGACAAGTTTCGCTCTAAGCATTTCGTATAATTATGTCGACATGCATAACAGTAAAATGTGAACCAATGCCCCCCCCCCCCCCTTCCCAAACCAAAACACATCCTACACTACTGGTATTAGTAGGGTATTACAGTGAAACGTGTTCTCCTTGTTGCTATAATATAGCCGCTGTCTCGGAAATGTTTGTTCTAAAGAATGTTTTCCATTTCTATATCACTCATGATGTTCCAGGTTTATTTTGGTGCGGTTTGTTGCGTGCACATGCATCAACAGGTGGTGACTGACGTCCGTGACTTTTGTTGTCGCAGTTATGGCTGCAGCAGAGGTATGAATTATCCACACGTCATTGCTTTGCGTAATTCTGAAATTCTTACACACACACACACACACACACACACACACACACACTCACACATACAAATATACACACACACACTCACACACACACACACACACACACACACACACACACACACACACACACACACACACACACACACACACACAGTGGCCAAGTGCAAGTAATGTGCGCGTGCTTTTACATCTGCTGCAGCTAGCCACGGCTGTCCCGTCCCCCAATGAATGCTTGATCAACACAGCACAGATCTCAGTGCAAAAAAAGAACAGAACTTGCATGGCACGAGGTGTGCTGCTAAGAACGAGTCTTAACCAGGGAGTCATAAAATACCGGTATTTTACGACTCCCTAGTCGTAACGTGCTGGCAGCTTCTGTGATGCTAACCTCACGATATGCTAGCCGCTGGCGGCAGAACGTTTTCAGAATTTGGTACTTTTACTTTTTCTGCGCGGTTTCATGCATGTTTGGTATGTGGATAAAGACGTGGAGCAGAATTCAAGGAAGTGCCTGCCATAAGGTTTGTATGGTTCTGCCACTTTCACTGCTTTTGGAGCAGAATCTGCCATTTTTCTAGCATTATCTGCCAAGGTGTACTGTATACACTCTGTATGTTGTTATTGCAGAGTCACACGAGCAAAACATGGCCATGGTCAAGCCGGATGTTCCGCGGGTGGATCCCACACCTCCAAGCAACGCTCAGCTGCGGTGAACTTCGAGTGGAATGCTGTGCCAAGCGGTTGATCTCCGAAGCGCAGAAGAAGGAATTGATGACGATAAAAGATTCTGCCAAACACAATGACCGACTGCTAGATATTCTGAGGAGGGGTACAGCTGAGACCTTCCTCACCTTCTGCAATATTGTGCGTAGCATCGAACCTAAAGCAAATGTTTCAAAGTTCCTAGATGACATGCAGTCAGTGTATAGCTTCGTTGCAGGTAAGTAGCAACTTTATCAGTCAGGTGGCAGAGAGATACCAACAGAATTGTACACGGGGGGGGGGGGGGGGGGGGCTCGACCATCTGTGGTGTGGCGACTCTATGCTTGACCACATCAAGCACGTCTGAGGTGTGGTGACTATGTGCTAGAGCACATCTGTAGTGTGGTGACCATGTACCACCGGCAACCTCATAGTTGCCATTTTGCCTGTTAAGACTATGTAGTACGTATGACGGCCATTTTCTAGTGCGCTCACTGGACTACGCTGGCTACACACGGCCTACATGCCTGCCTGTACATGTACAGCCAATACTGCATGTCCTTGAGTCGCTTTGCTCCATATCTGTACAGTGCACATTGATGGCACCAACCTGCACTGAAGTTGTGCAAATGTGTTTGTCATGATGTGTGTGTGTGTGTGTGTGTGTGTGTGTGTGTGTGTGTGTGTGTGTGTGTGTGTGTGTGTGTGTGTGTGTGTGTGTGCGTGTGTGAGCGTGTGTGCGTGTGTGTACATGCAGGCACTTTTGTGAGGAAGTAAAACGCTTTGGCTATTTACTGTTCTCTGTGTCCTCTCTAATACAGGCAGTGAAGATGCAGCAACTAGAGTAAGTCGAAGTCAAACCAGCCCAGTTCACCAGGAACCCATTACCATCACCCAGCACCAGTCACCTGGTCACCGTGCCTGCAGGCTATAACTCACAGCATGTTGGGGCGACTTTCTGTCACTCGCGTTGAACCTTTTAACCTTTCGAGTTGAATCTTGGTGTGAAATTTGTCGCCTGCTGGCGTGGTGACCAGGTGACTGGTGTACGCAGGAGCACGCGACCGCTTGTTAAACCATGTTCGATTGGGAATAAGGGCCGAACGCTACATCGCAGCCTTTTCGGACTAAAACCATTCGACTCAGCGTCCAAAAGACTACAACATATGGACCAATCGGGGTCATCCGTGCTGTTATAAGAACGAAATGGCACTTTTAGTGACATTTTGCATACAAATCCCCATCTAGTAGGGCGCAGTCACCCAGTTTCGGTGGAAGTGCGCGAGTTCAATTGGGAACAAAGGAGGAAGGGAGCATCTCAGCTTCCTCGGACCAAGACCATTCGACTCAGCACCCCGAAGACTACAACTGGTGAAAATTAATTAAAGGCTTAACTTCCCCTTTATTGCATGTCAGGTCCCTGGCACCTAAATTTACATATGTACAGTATAGTGACACACTCGCATAACGTTGCTTGTCTGGGCTCACTTAGGGGTCAGTAAGTCAAGGCCGCGATCCCTGCTACAATAGTGAGCTGGGTACGATGGCAGTAATGTCAGAATCATATTTTGCCCTTTTGAAGAGGTCAAGGCGTTTCTTCATGATGATAATGCAGTTGAATTACTTGCTGGTGCATCCGTAAGTGGTGAGTATCACCAGCCGGTTCATATTAATGAACAGACTGGTGTTGAAAGAGTCAAGGACATGAGGTTGTTGTCATTTGGTAGAAAGGGTTGTATGACGTGTTGCAGCCTTTTTGATCAGCATAACTCGATTGAGGTCCCCGAAGGTTACTGTCGTCCATGATAATTCGATTGAGGTCCCCGAAGACCACAGGTTCTAAAAGTGTTATTCCCGTAGCTAAGCAAAAGACGTTACTTCAGTAATGTCTGGCGCTAGCCAGGGTCCACATAGCTTTAATTCCGTTTGTTTGTTTGTGCCTGACGACGTCGGCGTGCCTGGCGCTATCCCGTACATGTCCCGTACCGTACCATCAAATGCAAGATCATAATGTGAAGCAACTTGGAAGAATGTGTATGTATGCGAAGTGTATCAGGCAAATGCATGTAGGGCGATAGTGCGGGTTCGAATCCCATAATTATTATGTCTTGAAAAAACTGGAGGAATGAAAAAATTATAACATCTCTATGCTGTTTTTTGCCTAGGTCATCAAGGTGGTAGACGGTGTCGTATTATCGCATTATCACTTTTTTGGGTGTGCTGCTAATGGGCCGGGCATGTCACAGAGCAGAAGGCGTCGGCAGGAGTGCCTACACGGAGAGTAGAAGATGGTCCCTCGAGAGTCGCCGTGCCTGCAAAAGGCTAAGCCGACAACGAGAAACAATGGAGCAAGTATCCCATCGTTTGGAGACTCGCCGACTTCGTGAAAAGATGCAAAGACAGCAAGAGACCGCTGACCAGGCATCCAGTCGGCAGGAGAAAAGACGTGATCATAACCGAACTTGTTCGGTATGCGGTGACTGCGGTCCGCAGGCATAGGGCCGTCGCATTATCGTTAAAATGGTTTTGGGCGTGCTGCTAATGGTACGGGAATGAAATGATCGGGTAGGTTGCAGTGTTTTAATATGCCACTTTGTTGTATAAATAGAATGATGAGATGATTCACAGAGGACTATGAGGAAGACCAAAATGCCAGCTAGGGTGACAGTATTGAAGCGATTTTTTAGAACGAAACAACATTTCAAGTGAATTTTTGCACAAATCCCTTTCTAGTAATACGCCAACGCGTTCGCATTTCGGCGGATGTGCGCTGATTCGATTGGGTATGTAGGGTGCAGGGAGTGTTGCGGCTTTCTCGAACAAACACCATTCAACTCGGCAGCCCGAAGGTATTTCATGCTCAGTTCATTGTGTGTATGACTATCGTGTGCTGACTTTGCAGAGTCAAGCAGGCAACACAGGGCCATGGTCAAGCCCGGAGTTCCGCGAGTGGATTCCACGCCTCCAAGCAACGCTCAGCTGTTGCACAATCCGCACAGCGTGCCTGTCCAAAGGCCTGCTCACCGATACGCAGAAGAAGGAATTGATGGGAGTAGAAGATGATTCGGCCAAACACAATGACCGACTGCTAGACATGCTGAGCAGGGGTACAGCTGAGACGTTCCACACCTTCTGTAGTATAGTGCGTAGCACTGAACCCGAAGCAAACTTTTCAAAGTTCCTAGATGACATGCAGTCAGTGGATACCTTTGTTCCAGGTAAGACATGTGGAACCTGACAGAAGTTGCGCAGGGGACGGTGGAGAGGAGACGGTGTGTTGGGACACGTTAGGGTGGGATACGTTGGGGTGGGGAGCAATAGGCATGGGCTCCGGGTGGGACGCAAGATGCCCACACCCCAGAAGCTTTTGGGTTCCAAGGACCCTTGGCGAGTTGGCCATTCCCAGGATATCCAAACACCAGTGGCTGTAGTGCGTAGCCATGTGCTGTGGTGTTGTATACAGGTAGAGATCGGCTATACCATACAATAGCCTTTACTACAAAGTCGTAAAGTTATCACTTACATACTCTGAAGTACTACCTTGTCCAACCGCATGTGGTGATAATCGTCCATAGTGAACAAATCACACTTCTTTGAACACCAACGCTATAACAGATCACTTCCTGTACTCTGCCTGAAGAAGCTGGAGGTCTTGGCCAAACATGTCACCAACTGAATTTGTTGTCCTCGTATGTTTGTTGGCGCATGTGTTGGCGCATGTGGTGTTCAGTTTCTACAGAATGCAAGAAAGACTGCAATAAAGTGTTAGACCTGATGAAAGAGTTCTCATCACCGGAACGTCAACGGGTGGTCCACACTGCCGAGGATGTGGCACGAATGCGCACGTCACAGACCGTCCTTGACAGGAGAAAGAAACCCATCCACTTACCACAGCCAACCTCGCCTGTGACCATTGATCTGCTGAGGATGCAGAACATGGGAGAAGGTAGGCGAAGGGCTATTAGAGAGATTAAGCTGCACGTTAGTAATTTGCTTGACGTGACGTGCAGTTTTAGGTCAAACAGGTCTTCGATTGGCGTAAAACTCCAAATTTCGAGGGTCACATCAAAAATTAGGTGCAGCCTAACCTCTCTATTATCTACTGATGACTCGTTTGAACTCGGATCGTGAGCCAATGTTATCATGGAAAAAAGAAGGAGGATGTAATGTTTAAAGAGGCGTTTTAAGAATGCGATAAATAGAACAAAATTTAATGATGCCAACATAGCACCATGTAACAATCATGAAATGCAAACATGTATAAAATTCAATTTGTAAACGTTTTTCTTTCGATGGCCATCAGTGAACCTACATCGGATAGCGATTTACAGGTTTACAGGTAAATAAACAATAATTATACCATGTAGAGTAAAACCTGTAACTACAGACCACCGTGACCATGGTGACTACAGACCACCGTGACCATGGTAACTACAGACCACCGTGACCATGGTGACTACAGACCACCGTGACCATGGTAACTACAGACCACCGTGACCATGGTGACTACAGACCACCGTGACACTGCATGCAGCTTCCAGCACCTTTAACTGTGACAAACGGCTAGCACGACACAATACTCTGAAACTGTCGTCACCATACATCACTATTCGATGTAGGTTCACTGATGACCATCGAAAGAAAAACGTTTAAGAATCACTTTAATTCTTATGCAAAAGAGAAAGGACCCAGTATAAATTAATCCTTGGCTCTCCATCCGAGTCCATTAATTTTTATAATTTTTTTACATTTCATGATTGTTACATTGTATTATGTTGGCATCAATTGTTTTATTTATCTCTTTGATGAAACGCGTATTCAATCTACACGTAGAAGTATGTACGTTGCCCCATTGATTGCATTTACCCACTTGGAGACATCCGTTAGTGTCGGTTTTGCTCTCTCATTGTTCTTGTACATTGCAAGTACTTCATGTGCACTAAGCCATGCCTCGCATTTAAACTGGCGTGCGAGGTGATTTCTACCCAGTGCAATATACTATTCACTAGAATGTGTTCCGTTTTCATCATCCCGCTTCTGCTTTGGTCTTGCTCAGAACAACGACAAGCAGTGTTGACTGAAATCGATCGCTTGGCGTCTAGCGCTAGCATCACTGATGACCGTGTGGCGCAGGAATTGCAGTACCAGGGTCAGGTGACACGGGCGGATGGCCAAGTTGGTGAGCAATAGATTGTACCTGTCTAGTATATCACCATCTAAAGTGTGGTACTATCTCACCAAAACCAACACCAACACCCCGCTGCATGCTGTAGCAGCTGGTGCAATGGATGATGCTCTCCCCAAGGCTTTGTGGGTGCGCATACTCTTGCTTCTCTGCAATGCTCTCCAAAGCGGTCCCTGATACATTGCTCCGTATCTTCCACATACTCCTCTCCATGAAACAAACACAGCATTGACTGGATGATTGAGTAGATCACATTCGGCTACATAAACTGACCGTCACTCGTACCAACATCACATTCACAACATCCCCTTTGCCTCCACCTTCTTTTCTCCTTTCTGTACACCTCTCGGGAGGATGGGGGGGGGGGGCACTCAGGACTGGCGAATGAAGACAATACCAGCATATCGTTGGGAGATCTACCAAGCTGAAAGACACCACACGCGTTCCTGTTGTACGCAAATAGTCATGGACCAAACTGTAATCACTGATGAATGGAAACTTGAGGCTGGGCGCGAATGTATTCTCAGTGCGGCCGGTGGCTTGTCTTGGCATGGGTGCGCTCAAACCCATCCCTCTCAGTCGTCGTGTGAAACTGATCTGAACTGGCTTTCACGGTGTTCGGCATGTTTGTCAATTTTGCCTGTTTCTCGTCTGTCGCAGAAAAATCACCAGCTGATATACAAACAGAGTTAAGTAAGCACCCCTGTTTCATCAGTATGGGCACTGGATCTACCAGGGACGGCAGCAGAATTTCAGAGACCAAGCAGTACTTGAAGGATACTGGCTTCATCGACGAGAACACTGTGATCACAGAGATCACTGAGTATGAACTAGTCCCTGTGACTAGGCTGGTTATTCGTGACAGCAAACGACTGAAGTTTAAAGGTCAGCATTACTGTGCTAGCATGATTGCGTGATTGCTTGATAAGGTAGCTGCCGGATGCCGGATTGTTTGTCATTTTACAGAACTCACCCTGCTTTGGGAGCTCCGCTTGCCACCTTTCATGTATATACCGTATGTGTGTGTGTGTGTGTTAGAGTGTGTGTTTGTATGTGTGTGTGTGTGTGTGTGTGTGTGTGTGTGTGTGTGTGTGTGTGTGTGTGTGTGTGTGTGTGTGTGTGTGTGTGTGTGTGTGTGTGTGTGTGTGTGTGTGTGTGTGTGTGTGTGTGTGTGTGTGTGTGTGTGTGTGTGTGTGTGTGTGTGTGTGTGTGTGTGTGTGTGTGTGTGTGTGTGTGTGTGTGTGTGTGTGTGTGTGTGTGTGTGTGTGTGTGTGTGTGTGTGTGTGTGTGTGTGTGTGTGTGTGTGTGTGTGTGTGTGTGTGTGTGTGTGTGTGTGTGTGTGTGTGTGTGTGTGTGTGTGTGTGTGTGTGTGTGTGTGTGTGTGTGTGTGTGTGTGTGTGTGTGTGTGTGTGTGTGTGTGTGTGTGTGTGTGTGTGTGTGTGTGTGTGTGTGTGTGTGTGTGTGTGTGTGTGTGTGTGTGTGTGTGTGTGTGTGTTCACTGTTATTATTCTGAAACAGACGAGAGCTCGTATATAGTGAAGTTCATCATCGACTGTGAGTATAATCACAGAGCCTCGAGTTTCATTGACAGAGTCGTAGGTAACCTCTGCAATCTCCTTGGTGATCAGAGCATCCACGCAGACAGCGTCCACAGAGAGAGCGGAGGCACAGCAGTGTTTGTACAGATGTCTGCCCAGACTCATGCCAAGCTCTGGGAGTTCTGCAAGGATCGATCTAGCCTGCTCGCTGGTCAGCACATCCTCGAAGTGTCAACTGTGGACGGAGCGGTAGTTCTCAATTTCCGTCCCACGGCATGCAGTGGTGAAGGTAAGACGTATTGCTGCAGTAGGATTACACGGATAGCAGCTGTAGTTGTAGCATGGCTACTTTATGACACGTAATTTGTATACACATAAATAGTACACCGTAGGAATGCATGGATAGGCTGTGCGCATACTCGCACTGCCTTGTCTTCTTCTTCTCCTTGTGAGACAATGAACGAATATTGATAACTACTTACGTAACAACAAGTATGATTGTGCTTTGAGTGCTGAGAGTATACGAGTTACAATGGTGGCAGCGGAAAAATAGTCGTCGGTTTTGTCCACGGCTGGGAAGACGCCTCCGCAGGAGAGACAAGTTGCAGAGTCGACAAGTTCCAGAGAGTCTGAGACCAGTTCCAGCTACTCGGGAGACCAGCCCACAGACTAAGTTCTAATTTACTAGTATTGATCATTCTAGCCTTCGTCTCGTTTTCCATTCTTTACTCCTTGACTGATCGTTCGCGCTGTGCATGAGTAACAGTTTTGTTTGGTGTAGAAAGGGCTACATTTTCACAAAAATATTTTGCGCACGTGAGTGTGCGTGCATACTTAGCAAGTACACTGTTGACGTCATGTCCTGTGCACGTGTACGTCCGTTTGACGTAACCAGAATGTTTTGTGTACATGTGGGTCATTTTTTTTGTAACATTTTTCAAAAGTTTTTTTGAACTACAAATGTTTGTAGCTTGGGCCATTGCTAGTGGGATATCGAGATGGGCAAGTCCAAAGGCAGAAAGAAGACCAGGTCCCCTCGACCTCGTCCGTTCAAGATACCGTCTGACGAACATGCCAGTGCATCAGAGTTGCACCAGTCTAATGACACCGGAGTGCGTGATCAACTAGCTCAGGTGCTCGAGAAACTTGATCGCAGGTTGACCGACCTCGAAAAGAGACTCAGCTGTTTGGAAATTGTTGCTCCACGCACACAGGTTCCTGTAGGAGCAAGTTTCGAATTTGATCAGCCTCATAGTAGTAGCAGTGGTCGTGGACATTCGTATGGTCGTGGTGGTCAGGTGGAACCACCGATTTGTTGTGGTTGTGGACAACCTGGCCATTTTGCTCTAGATTGCCCACACAACCCTTGGCGCTCGGGAAACTGAGTACGACTGGTGGTGTGGGACAACTCCCAGTCGTTCACGAGGAGCCAACAGATGCAGTACGTATCGAGACTGTATCGTCAGTCCCTACGCTAGATCTCCATGTTCAAGGCAAGTGTGTAACGGCGTTAATTGACTCTGGTTCCTGTGTTTCTATGTTGCATGAGCAAACATTTTTGTCCACGTATGGTGATGTGCCCTTGCAAGCTGCTCCCCGTTTGTGTGCGGCTAATGGTGAGGGACTCCAGGTTCTGGGTGCTGTGGATATTGTATGCTGCATTGGAGAGCGTTCATTCTTGCATACATTTGTAGTGTCTCCTGATATCCGCCGTGATATGATATTGGGATCTGATTTCTTGTTTGACCATGGAGCATTATTGAACATTGCTCAAGGCACACTAACTTTTAATGATCTGTCAGTCCTGCTAGGCGTGAAAGCTACTAGTGTTGGTCCATCAGAGCCCAGTCCGGTTGTTGCGGCGGACGCTGACCCGCTATCTGACTCTTGGAGTAATGATAGTAATTCTGAGGAAGACCCGGGCACGTACTATTCCCGTGTCACTGTTTGTAGTAAATTAACTCTGCCTGCCGGCCATGTCGTGCTGGTCCCGTGCAAGTCGGTGCAAGAGGCATCTGTCACTGTGGATTGTGTTGCTGTTCCACTGGACTCATTCTTGTTAAAGTTTCCAGATGTGTCTGTGACCCCCAGTGTGGTTACGGTTGGACCTGGCAGGTCCGGTGCGGTAGTTGTGTTGGAGAATCACTCTGACTACCCAGTACAAATTGCTACAGATGTTGATATTGCAGAATTATCTCTTGTACCCGATAACTTGATTGGAGAGGATGATGATCCTGCTGATTCATCTGTTGCGGATATGCAACCGTTTGTGCTATCCCCTGAACGTGCCGAGATAATCCGTACGTATGTTGAGTCTCGGAATCATCTGGCAGTACCTGAAAAGAACAGACTTACAGAGCTTCTCCGTGAGAATCATGACTTGTTTCTCTTGCAGGAGGGTGATTTTGGTCCTTGTGATGTTTTGCCACATAGTAGTAGTACTGGTGATATACAGCCAGTTAAGCAGCCTACGCGCGCTTTGCAAGCTTTGCTGGATGGTTTGTTGTCCCGTGGTATACTCACCGAGTCCATTAGACCCTGGGCGTCGCCCATAGTTCTCGTTCCCATGAAGGACGGATCTCTCCGGTTATGTATCGACTACCGCAAGTTGAACAGCATTGCGGAGCCAGATGCGTATCCTATCCCACGTGTTGACGCCATATTGGACTCACTCTCTGGCTGTTCATGGTTCACTTGCCTGGATTTAGCGTCAGGATATTGGCAGGTTCCTAAGCACGAGGACGATACGGCAAAGACTGCCGTTACGACACCGTTGGGTTTGTGTGATTTCTTGGTTATGTCTGGCTGTAGAAATGGTCCAGCGACATTCCACCGTGTAATGGAAGCGGTGCTTCATGGTTTGTGTAGTGTGCCTAACCAACCATTCTGTCAAGTGTTTTTCAACAGTGTATTGAATGCCAGCTCTACCTTCACTGGACAGCTCCAGATCCTGCAGTCTGTATTTGGCCGGGTTCGTGCTGCTGGACTAAAGGTAAATTTGGAAAAATGTTCTTTTTTCCAACGGAAGGTGCTCTTCCTTGGCCATGAAGTTTCGGCTGAAGGTTTGGCTCCGGATCCCACCAGGGTTGAGGCTATTGTGAAGTGGGCCGTACCCCAGTCTGTACGAGGTGTACAGGTGTTTCTGGAGTACGCCGGGTTTTACCGCCGCTTCATCCGTGGTTTTGCTCAGCGCTCCGCTCCACTGAATGTATTAGCAGGCAAGGGTGCCAGCTTTACATGGACTAAGAGTAGTGATGCGGCGTTGACGGCTATGAAGCGGTCACTGACCACAGCCCCCGTGTTGGCGTATCCCGACTTTTCTGTTTCGTCTGGTGGCTTTATTTTGGACACTGACGCAAGCAAGGTGGCCATTGGGGCTGTCCTCAGCCAAATGCAAGATGGCGAGGAACGCCCCATTGCGTTCGGCAGCCGGGTCTTGACGAAGGCAGAGAGGAATTATGATGCCTCAGACCGGGAAACGCTTGCCCTTGTCCATTTCGCGAATCAGTTCCGGCACTATTTGCTTGGTCGGAATTTTATTGCCCGCACAGATAACACTGCCCTCACCGCACTGATGTCCGTGAAGGAACCACGCGGTCGAAAAGCTCGATGGGTGGAGCAACTCGCTGAGTACACCTTCACTACTGTTCACCGACCGGGTCGGCAATACTTGAATGCAGATGGTCTGTCGCGTTCCTTGTTGCCGGAGGTGCAACCATCCCATCTCGAGACTCCCGCAAATCAGCCAGAGCAAGCTAGTTCCTCTGCCACGACTGCGTCTGTGGATGTCGCCACTTCTGTACTTGCTGGTCTCTCCGCAACTGAGTTGGCTGCTGCCAAAGCTGTGAATGTCGACCTCTCAGTGGTCAGTTTGCCCAGGTACAATGCGGTGAGTGGAAAATTTGTTCGCCCTCCCGAAGGTTTCTGGCACTAGTCGTACCATGCGTTTGTTCTCGGCTAATGCAGTTGGATCAGAAGGAACATTCGGTTCGCATCTGATGCCTCACGGTGCTTACTCTGCAAGCCCTCGACAGCGACCATAGTCCGCTGTCGTCTACGCTCCCGCCGTCAACCAGAGCCCATCTTGCTCGCAATGCTGGACTGCCTGCGCGGTTTACTGATTTTGCTATGTCCTGAGTTATTTTATTTTTTATGTTTCTGTTTTCTTTCTCTATTCACGAGGGCGTGAATTTTTGGTAGGAGGAGGATAGTGTAGCATGGCTACTTTATGACACGTAATTTGTATACACATAAATAGTACACCGTAGGAATGCATGGATAGGCTGTGCGCATACTCGCACTGCCTTGTCTTCTTCTTCTCCTTGTGAGACAATGAACGAATATTGATAACTACTTACGTAACAACAAGTATGTGCTTTGAGTGCTGAGAGTATACGAGTTACAGTAGTAACCTGTAAGCGTTGGTTACATGATGATAGGGAGGTCATCACTAGTCAACAGACGACTGGCTGTCGTTTGGGAAAGTGGTTGCTGCCTGCATGTTTCGGTCCATGATGCTTGTCCACATAATTATCTTTTCTAGGAAACTCTCTTCATAGCCCAAAGTAGTTTTCACAACCAAATGGCTTTCTTGATATGCTTCAATTTACCTCGGGAGCAAAAGGTCCGAAACTCTTTGCATTCTTGTCCAGGTTTTAATCCTGATGACCTGGAGCACTTGGTTGAAGAGTTCTCCGAGAGATTTCCATCCATGGACCGAGATGAGCTGTCTGAAGCTGTGGCTGACCAACCGAACGTTGAGCATGCAATGATTGCAGTGACCAAGCTCGTCTTCGATGATGGCGGAGAAGGTTTGAAAGCGCTGCCTGAGATTCTTGGTGGTGAGTTTCAATACTTTTGTTTTGTGTTGTGTTGCGTGTACTATGTCTATGGGCCCTGTTGTCAATGTTTCGATAGGGATCTCAGCGCGTGAACTGCACAGCCAGTTTTGCGCAGGTGAAATTTTCTATCCCAAACGTGTCCAGTGCAGAAACCGTGAAGAAGAACATTTTCTCAAAATAAATCAAGCTGAAGAAAACATTTGAAATAGCTGAATGCTGCGTCCAGGAAAAAACGTTCTACAGCCATTTCCAAGCTACCTACGTCCCATTCACTCTCTCAGGGGAACTATGGAGGGTCAAAGAGCACAATATTTCACTCTCGGGCGCAGCGTGAACACCTCTTCTTCGGAGTGCGATGTCTTCTCTCTGAGTGATAATGGCGGCGATTTTCACGATGGCTGATACACTGAAAATCGAAGTTAGGACAATGTAACCGGGGAAAACGTCTGATTTTTCTACTGAAACTTCTCTGAAGTGGGTTTCTTGCCGCATAGCAAATTATAGGAAAATCGACTGGCAGGGGCGTAGGCAGTGCTTTGGCTGCCAAAGCACCCCCTAAAAAATTTCAATCGTGGTTCGCAGCTGGTTCGAGAGGGACCGTAATACGCGGACCGCTGATCAGTCACATGTGCAACTCTGCACACTGTGCACTGCAGTAGGTATTGTGCTACTGCAGTGCACAGTATTTTAGTCTGATGATTCGCCATTTTGCAATGAAACTTCTAGTCAAGGGCGACTCCACTTCGTACCTACCATTGTGCAGCATTACCTCAGACCTCAGCAGACTCAGCAAATAATAATGATTTGTATTGCACTCCACACGTTTTGTTAAAAGCAAAGAGGCATAAAATCACGCCATGGGTAGAAGTAGCAACACA